GAGTGGCTGGGGGACGATCTGCTAAAGCTTGTCCGTAAATATCGGCTTCTAGACAGAGTATGTAGTAACAAATTGACCCTCTAGGGGGCAGTGCCACTTTTGATGGGAGACGAGCATAGACTGTAGGCAAATAAGAAAAAGGTAACGGTTCGCTATGAGAGAACATGGCGCCTGTGAGACGCAAGTCGAGGAAGTTAAGGCAGCTCACACTCAAACAGAGTTTGTGTTTCAGTAATCGCAGTAGTTTGGTTTTTGTCCCGATCGTGGGAAATGAAGGAGATCAACCCGGGCCAAAGGAGAGAGAGAAGGCCTAGCTCATGGCGTGTTTCAGAACAATTTACATAAATGTATTTGTGAATAAATTATTTTGTAATTTAAAACCATTTCTAGATGTTGTTTTTGCCGTTTTATAGAAGGATACAACTTTTAAGATGTTTGAGGTGTCACTAAAGCCAAAAAAATTGCATCAAAGACACTTCTCTGCTTGAACTGTATCTTTTCACAAAAAGCTTGTTTTCTCCATTTATTGGTCAAAAACTGGTGTTTTTGTTGAAACCAACCTATGTTCTACTGCTGATTACTAAAGAACGGAATAAGATAGAAACAAACATTTTTTCCTGATGAAAGAATAGAGTCTACTCTTTCTTTTGGTGTGTTTGGTGTTTACATAGTCATAGCACAAACTATTCTGTGGCTCTTGAAAAATCAGTCAAAATGCGCGGAGCTCCTGGCAGATGTTTTCCCGCCTGGCTGGGAAGAGGAGGCAGGAAACCATGAAACTGGGAGCAGAGAAGAGGAGGAAATGCCAGCTTCCCTGCTCCGCGGTATTATTGGAGACTTCCTGCTCAAAGGCCTTTTTAACTCCTCATAGGCGGGGTCAAAGGTCAAACCGCTCAGGAGAAAGATTTCCCAAAACGAAGAAGGTCTGAAACAAACCAGCTAAACGGCTTCAGCAACACGACTCAGAAACGCTGAAATATTGGCAACAAAAGATCAGAAAACTGAATCATACGAAAAAGAAAAAGCTGGTGTGGTCTATCAGAGCATGTATTAAAGTCTAAAGTTATTTATCCACTTACTTAGTTTTCAGACTCATGTTGAACAGGGATTTACTCTGATAACAACTTAATGGTTAGGACACAGACCTGTGGGTTACAGATGCTAATGCTAATGCTAATGTGGGATCGGACTGGAAAATCGAGTTATATGTTGAACAGATCAAAAGTATTGATACCAACCCTACTTAGAAGTATGCAGAGAAATGCCAGTAAAAAACCTCTCAAAATAAGTCTGAAGCTTCTGTCATCTACATTAAATATCAGGAAAGGATTTCTTTCATATGGAGAGTGTTGTAGCACCAGACGTTGGGGCCCTGGAACCTGCCCTGTGGTTGGAGGATCACTTTTAGGAAAGGCCTTCCACAGCTCACTGCTAACTTGTCCAGACCTTCCTCCATCCTTTATCTTTACCCTCCTCCTCTGATAGGGCCACAAGGAAGATGTCTAAAACATTTCCTCCCCCGATCCTCATGGGAAATGCGAGCCCGAAGAGAATAAAATTGAGGAAGAGGAATTAAACTGTAAATGGATATTTGCCACGAACGGAGCCGATTGTTTTATTTTAGCCTCATTTGACACACTGTGTGGAGATCTGGGCTAAATTCAGATTTTAGTTATTATCCTGCGGAAAAGAGATGGTAGAGTTATCAAATAAAGTTTCAAAGAGCTTACAGGTCACTCATCTATCGACTGTAAATTGATTAAATTTGCAGGTTGCTAACGGTAACACGGCAAGGGCTTCATCTGTGGCTAAATTGGGACTCTGAATGAGGGATTACGCTATTTATTCAGCCGTAATGATGTGAATTTGGGCTTAAAACAACATTTAAAACATAAATGTGTGTCTCTTGGATTTAGCTTTAAAATGCTTTTAATAAAAGGAAGGAAATTAAGGCTTTCTAAAGCTTTAGGGGGTGTTTTCCCAATATGGCCGACTGTATGTGGCCTTCTTTGGTGTTCAAATGAAGTGCAAGTCAAAGGGGTTCTGGTACTGTTATTATAGTGGAAAACATAAAAAAATAAGAGTGAGGGGGATGTTTAAAGAGTGGCTTATGTTGTTTAACTTTGTTACCTCCAACAGCCAAATTTAAACGTAGAAAATGAGTCGGCTGAGCTGTTTATGAGCACTTTCTTCTTTATTTAGACTCCTGGTTTGACTGGGATGCATCAGTCTGTGTGGCCAGAGCTGAAACAACCAGCCCACGCTCAGTTTTTTTCTTCATATGGGAGCAAATAAACACAAGTCCTGTAACCTAGAATAGAAAACATTCACTGCGCCGAGATAAGGGAAAGAAAACCCTCCCATTATACGTAATTATCTGGGAAAGGCGCAGCAGTTTTGAAGGGGTTTTTTTTTTCTTCCCCTCCTGGATTCCAACCAACAGACTCAACAAAGCTGCCTTATAAAGTCATTTAAGATGTTTCACAGGATGTTGGGCGTGCAGAAGGCTGGCATTCTTCTTCTTCTGTGGTATTATCCGACACAGAAATGAACCTGTGGGCTCACGGAGGCATCCCCGACCCCAAACTGCTGAGTGACTTTACTAAATTCGTCCAAATATCTGATGGATTTTTGCCTGAATTCCCAAAACCCGGCGGGAATCTGGCAGGAGCTCTGCTCTCTCAGGCAAAAACAAATAACAAGAGAAAGAAATCTGGGCATCTGCGGGGCTCTATTTCATGAATATTTTTTTTATATTTATGAATATCTATTATATCTATTACAGTCCTCTGTTAGGCCAGACGAGATTCTGAGGCTGGTAAAAAAAAAAAAAACCTTAAAAAAACAACCAAAACACACCGAACAGATGTGCCGGCGGGCCGGTCCCACGTGCACGCCCCTGGCACGTGCACGCTCCTGGGACGTGCACGCCCGGGACTACAGGGGAAAAGGCAGAGAAGAGGAAGCCCTCCTGGCCGGTCACACCCTCCACAAATAACAAACTGCACACGCCAGCTCTGGACAGCCGGAGGAGAACAGACAGAAAAAAGAGGACAGAGAGAGGGGAAAGAGGCCGGGTGGCTGTCTGGTTGCTGCCTGGTTGCTTCCTGGTTGCTGCCTGGTTGTTGTCTGGTTGCTCTCTGGTTTCTGCCTGGTTGTTG